CTATTTTATTCTTTCATTTTGTCGCTTACTCCTTTGTTTGATGGAAATCTACAAATGAAAATTGAAATGAAAATTTTAATAGGTATATTTATTAAAAGAATGTTAAAATGATAAATAGAATTCTTTTATATTTCTAATGAAAATTTTAGTTCAATTTTCCATTATGAAAATAAAATATTTCAGATGGAAAAAATCTATTTTATGAATCAAAAATTAATGAATGAAAATTAATTATATATCTAATGAATAGTAAGGATATGATATATATATATATATATAGAAAATTATGGTCAAATCAGAGCAACAGGTTGTCTTTCTTTCAAACAAAATTTTTGAAAGTTTTACCATAAAACTGAATAAAAATTCTTTATTTGTCATAGAGGAACTCACCTTTTAAGTCATAAGTTGAGAATTACTCTCGGTACAACTTCCATCCTTTGATTGATAATCTGTAAAGACAGAATATTCTTTTTCCAGGTTTTCAGCCCAGTTTTCATGGCATTTTAGTTAAAATTATTGCTAACTTTGCCGTCTATATTGACAATCATATTGAAATTCGACGTTGAAACTTAGCAAAGATAGCTGCGAGCCATTTAACGAGGTCGAAGGTTGTCTTATAAATTGAGTTTTTATTGAAGCTCGTGTCAGTGCAAACGAATGTCTTTTATTCCCGCGATAGGTTCTCCCCTTTACTTGCCGCCTCATTGTCATATTTTTATCGTTGAAACTAGTCAGAAGCAGATTCAATATCGATATAAACAAGAAGGATCATCGCTTGATTGCTTTCATTATATAAAATCTTTCAGAAATTCGTATATTTAAATATTAATGATTTTTAAATTTTTATTTTTTTAAAAGGATTCGATCATTTTTTTTTAATATTATTAACATATTTAAAAAATTCATATAATACTATAAAATTAAAAAATTTTATCGTTATTTAACTACACAGTGCTATACATTTAGATATACACATGAATAATTCTTTTCTAGCTAATCAATTATAATATAAAAATTAATATAAAAATATAAGATTTGAATATATTACGACATAAAAAGTGTCAAAAATTAAATTTTTATATTATGAAAAAATAGATAGATAAAATAATAATTATTATTGAAATTATTATACTATTATTATAGTATTTTTAAAAAAGATTTTATTATATAGTGTTTAATATTTTTTTTCATTTTTTAAAAAATCTATCCTGAAATAACAAATATAAAAAAATTAAACAGGAATATTAATATAAAAAAATATATATATATATAAATACCATCAAATCATTCAAAAGTGGATCATTTATCCTTGATAAAAGAATAAAATGCATTAACATATCAGTTTCAAAAGATATATATATATTTGTATTCTTCGCAGACGTCACTTTATATCACAATATATGTGCACCCCCACCATCTTTTATTAATTCAAGATTCTAAATCATTTTTTCTTCCATTTATCATCAAGAGAAATTCATTTCCTATCAAGAGCCACTGTCAAAAATAAATTCATCGATGACTTTAGTTAAATTGATTCGCTGTCCGCGTGGGCATGTTTTTTTTTTTTCTTTGATCACCGAATCGAGAGAGATAACCCAATTAATAACGATAACATAATTTTTAAATTTTTTCTTCAATATTATAATATTAAAATAAAATGATGATTCTTCTTTTTTTTTGTAAATTTTTATTTATAAATATAACGAAAGAGACAAAAGAATTCTTTTCTTTTTGAGGTTAGCTTTATCAATGGATAAAAGTATGTTAATTTGATTCATCTCCTTTGAATGATTTGTACCACGATGAAATTTTCATCCTCGTGATCATTCACCCGGTATCGAGCCGTTATTTATAAGACAAATTTATCAGGAACTTTCATTTATCAGAACAGACAGTCAGGTCAGGCTGTCGACAAGAGACACGAGCGAGACACGCACACGCGGCCCTGCGTGCAGCTGTGCGCGAAATTGATGCCATGTCGTTCATTTGCAATTTCTACGTAAGACGTACTAGTTATTACCAGACATGACGACTAAAAATTTTACTTACGGAAAAGTTGATAATGCATAAATTGTCAACAATGCCGCGACTGTAATATTGTCACATTGAATAAATAAACCAACATATAGTATTTCGAAAATGCAAAATTTTTCTTCTGTATTATGTACATATAAATGTAAGCTAGCGTTCTGGATTTGAATTAATTTTACGATTAATCTTCTTTTTAATGTTATAATATGTTTACACATCTTATTATACATATATGTTTAATTTGGATTGAGTTTAAATAGTGATAAAATGATAGGTTATGTTTATATATAGATAATTTTTCTGAAAAGAACAGTAAAGATATTAAAATACGATTTATTTATATTGGATATTTGTTAAAGATTATAAACTATGTTATATAACGTAGATATTAAAAAAATAATCGGTAAAAACAACTGTCTTATATATTTTTATATATGGTTTAACACATGGCGCTCAAATTTAATGTTCTTTATTAGAAATAGAATGAATATCAGGTGTTTAGAATTGATCTCTTGTTTAGTCACATCACGATTTAATGACTAGTCTAATTGACGTCATGGTTTGTACATATCTAAACGGTTAGAATGAAAAAGAGACTTTTATCGTTATAATGAGAAGAGAGTAAATTTTCTTTCTGCCCTCTCAAAGTTCAAAAGTTCAAGCAAACCGATAAAATATGTTCTCTCGTCCGACATCTTCGCTTAACAGATAAGAAATCTGCTTCATTTATTTATATTTAAAAGAATCACATGTCTTCTTGATACTTTTTTAAATGATCATGCTTTCTTTTACATATACTTGAGTTTGGTAAATTGATTTTTCGATTGTAAAACATTGTCGATCAAAAATGGAACTGAAACTTAAAAATTGCGTAGATTAGATATAGAACAAGACAAGATATAGAAAAAACTTATAGAATTTTATATTCTTTATATGTACAGAATTATCGACTGTGTAAGAACTCAGAAGAATTTGATTCGATGCGCCCTCTAGGATCTAAAGTATTTAATTCAAAAATATCAATTGATAATTTAAAAAAAAAAAAACAAAAAAATTTACCCAATATTTTATGGAATTTTTGACCCATATTCTGAAATGATATTTTTTATTTTCATCTTTTCTTATTAGCTTTCAATTGATATTTTTATTATATGAAATAATTTAATTAATATAATATTACAATGTAATAATAATTATGTTATATTGAAAGTATATTTATTAAAAATATTCGAAAAACATTTATATTTGTCGCAAGATTATCATATTTTTACTAAAATATTCATCCATTAGAATATATAAATATCGGAGACAAAATTGTAAAGCAAAATTTATAGATAAGGAGAAAAGAAAAGATACAACATAGACAAGCAAATAAACAAGGAGAACATAGTGAGACAATGACAGAAATAGAGTAAAAATATGGAAATCAGCGCCATCTCTAGAGTGCCGCAAATGAAACTAATGTAAACAAAGAGAGAAAATAGTAGAAAAAGGATAGAGATAAAGTAAGAATTGATTAGTAGTGCCATCTATTGAATTCTAAAGAAATCTTCAAAAGAAAGGATAAAGTAGATTAAGAATTGACAGTCAGCGCCATCTTTTAAATAGATTAGAAAATTTTCGATTCTTTACTTACTTTTTAATCCAATAGATGGCGTTGCCAATTAATTCTTAAAAAAAAAAAAACAAAAAAATTTACCCAATATTTTATGGAATTTTTGACCCATATTCTGAAATGATATTTTTTATTTTCATCTTTTCTTATTAGCTTTCAATTGATATTTTTATTATATGAAATAATTTAATTAATATAATATTACAATGTAATAATAATTATGTTATATTGAAAGTATATTTATTAAAAATATTCGAAAAACATTTATATTTGTCGCAAGATTATCATATTTTTACTAAAATATTCATCCATTAGAATATATAAATATCGGAGACAAAATTGTAAAGCAAAATTTATAGATAAGGAGAAAAGAAAAGATACAACATAGACAAGCAAATAAACAAGGAGAACATAGTGAGACAATGACAGAAATAGAGTAAAAATATGGAAATCAGCGCCATCTCTAGAGTGCCGCAAATGAAACTAATGTAAACAAAGAGAGAAAATAGTAGAAAAAGGATAGAGATAAAGTAAGAATTGATTAGTAGTGCCATCTATTGAATTCTAAAGAAATCTTCAAAAGAAAGGATAAAGTAGATTAAGAATTGACAGTCAGCGCCATCTTTTAAATAGATTAGAAAATTTTCGATTCTTTACTTACTTTTTAATCCAATAGATGGCGTTGCCAATTAATTCTTACTTTATCTCTATCCTTTTTTTTCATTTACTCTCCTTGTTTACGTTAGTTTCATTTGCGGCACTCTAGAGATGGCGCTGATTTTCATATTTTTATCCTATCTCTGTCATTCTCTCACTATACTCTCTTTGTCTATATTTGTTTTTAAAGTGTAATAGAGAAGATACAAAATATCAGTGGAATATATTTTCATCATTTTTTTTTCAAAACTACAATATATCTTAATTTTCATTATAAAAAAATATATATTATATTTTTACCTTTTAATCTATCTTTATGATAATAATATAAATGATAATAGATATTTTCTAATTTTTAAAAATATTTTATTAAGATGGTTATGAAGAATATTGGATGTGTACCATTATAGAAATTTTAAGAAGTCTTTCTTTTGCTACTTGGAATTCTTTTTCAGAATGCCATTTAAAGATTTCTTCTATGTAAAAAAAAATATGTATTCCAAAGATCTAGAATAAGAAATGAATATTAAATCTATGTTTGTATTATTAATTAAGAAATTTTATCAACTCAGTGAGTAAATTTCTAAATTACCGATTATAAATTTTTAAGTATATAACGCCATCTTAGAGAAAAATTGTAAACTCTATAACTACTAAAATATATATTCAATTTCTAACATATCGATTGCTTCATGTTATCATTGTAGACATTATCTGAATATATATTCAATTCTTGTAGCAGACGAAAAACATAACCTTTTAGGAGATACTCAATTGTTATTAAAAATCCGAATGAATTAGAGTAAACACTACTTGCCGTTGTATTCATAATGGCGAATGACAGGGAGGTACTAAGAGAAATTTGGGATGGTAAAATTCCTGTTTGTTTTACGCTTGATTCTGAGGAAATTTGTGAATTGCAAGGACCTGACCCATTTTATCTTATGGTGCCTAGGTTAAGTTATTTTCCACTCTGCACAGATAAGGTAAATAATACAAATAAAAGATTATCAGTAATAAATGTATTTATAATTTTTAATTACCATTTTTATATGTTTTTTTAATTAGATACGAAAGCATTTTATAAGACATATACAAAGTGACAGTAAGCAAGAACATGAAATGTGGTTAGAATTCAATGGTATTCCCTTAAAATGGCATTATCCAATTGGTGTTCTTTTGGATATTTATTCTAACGATGTTGAATTACCTTGGAATATTGTTGTCCACTTTGATAGGTTTCCAGAAAATGTTCTGATGCACTGTCAAAACAAGTAAATAATATAGAAGCTTAATTTAATATTTGTTTATAATAGAATACTTAATTTAATTAACTTTAAATTTTAGAGAAGTAGTGGAAGCATATTTTCTCTCATGTATTAAAGAAGCAGATGTACTAAAGCACAGAGGGCAAGTTGTATCTAGTATGCAAAAGAAAGATCACAATCAATTATGGTCTGGTTTATTGAATGATAAGTTTGATCAATTTTGGTCTGTGAATCGAAAACTTATGGAAGCTAGTAACATAGAGGAAGGTTTTAAATACATACCATTTCGATGTTATACAAGTGAGGATAAATATGTACAAAAACTTGTAAAACCTGTCAATGAAGAAGGTCAAAGAAAAACATTGAGGCATTTATTGAATGAAGTATTTCCAGATAATGAAAATAGTAAGTAAATATTTTGTTTATATTTATTTTTTAAGTATTGTGTCATTTATTTATGTTTTTTATAGTTACAGTGTTTACTCATGGTATTACCCCACCTTTAGAAACACCTCTTCAATGGATGTCAGAACATTTGAGTTATCCTGATAATTTTTTACATTTAGTTGTGACATCATAACCCAAATTGAAATAGCCAGTTGATTAATTATCAATGAAAATTCTACAAATTGTGAATTCAGTACTATTTTCTCTTGTCAGTAAATAACTGGCTTTCTAATTAAGATCCCTTTATGATGGATCTTTTTAATTTTTATGTGCTTTGTCCCATGTTTATTTATTTTATACAAAGTCATAAATGACACTCTAATTTTTCCTGAAGAAAATAATGATTAAACGCTTACTGTTGCTTATATTCTTGTAATGCACGAACGTATGCAAATTTTATCACAATTGCAACGTCGAATTTTATTAAGATTGGATCGATATCGGACCACATTTATCATAGATCAATCAAATTGTAATTTAACTAACAATAATGTATCAGGAAGAAAATATATTGTATAAATATAATTATATAAATATTTAAAAATCATTTAGGTATATAAACATTATATTCGACATAAAATCAATGTGAATATTTTAATGGTAATGAAAATTAATTAATAGTATACTTCGAAAGACAAGATGAAGGAGAATTAAATATTAAAAATGCCAAAAATAAATAAATAATCGACAATTTAATTTAAAATTAAAAACCATAATTGAGGCATAAACTAATTTATTGCACAACTATCTCGAGGCTTTCGATATATCCTTAGTATTTGGGAAGATATGTTTTCATCATTGCGAGTTGTCAAAGAGCCAGTTGGTCTCCGCACAATAACGGGATGATTTCCGTAATTACTGTATTCCATCGTTCTGCGGCTCGTTCCAAAAGTTAAATAATTCACTTCTCTCTTACTTTGTTCCTGTAACACAAAGATTTAAAATAAATCCCAAAAATTAATTAATTAAAACTTCGAAAAATGTACGTAATTCTATGCAACACATTGTTAAAACATAATTTGTACATTAAAAAATGTCTCTAAATTTAGAAAAGATATTATTAAAAATTGTTGTTTCTGTATTTAATTACAATTTAAATATAATATTTTTTATTAATAAATTTTGTGTATTATAAATAAATAATTACTTTATATATGATTAGAGATATGTCTTGATATCTCTTGTGAATCTCTTCCTTAGACAATACGATCTTCACTTCCGGCGATTCATATCGCTCCGTCATTTACAATTATTCTTTCGTTTGCTATACCTGTAACACATATCAATTTATGAATTAAAATGTCATCCATTTGATTGTAGTCTTTAATTTAACTATCATCGATCGGAATAAAGATTCCTATATTCAACATACCAGCAAAACTGTTAACTAAAGAAGATTCTGTATCAATGTCTACGAAAAAAAAAAATAAATAAAATGAAAAACAAAGCAAAAAAAATATGCTTGGAGAAGAACGGGAAAACAAGAACGAGCAAGAGAAATGTCGAAGAGAATGCACACATTTGTCTAGGGTAAAAATAAACTCTGGTTGGACTTTCACAACGCAGTAAATACTATCTCACCTCTTTCAGAATTAATATTTCTTATTTTGTTCGTTCGTTTTTTTTTTATTTTTTTATTTTATTATTTAATCTCAATTTTTATTATCTCTTCTAAAGAAAACTTTATTTTTTTTTCTGTTTTGTCTTTAATATTAATTTTTTTTAATCGTTTAAATTATTTTTTTTCTTTTCAATGATTACAGACGACTTTACCAATTGGCTCTAATTATTTTCGAAAAGATATAATAAATATGACGATAAATTAATCACGATATTTTTTTCAGCTAGATAACAGAAGATCGTTGATAAAAAAAAAGACCTGGATCGTGTTTTCGAAGATTATTTGCAATTTATAAGCACTGTCCGATGATATCGGCGGACGGACAAGAAGTACACCGTAAGAATAATCAACGAAACTTGAGACTTTGTCGTCACGTTGATCTTTAACTTGCAAACAGAAGACACGTTATTCGCCTATTGGAATAGAGCCAGAAACTTTTTGGTATCCCTTTCGAATTTCCGGTTGAGAACGCCAGACGTATGGTATCCTATTATGAATTTTTTTATCATTGTAAGTAATGATTTATGTTGTCTTTTAAATTCGAAAATATTTAGAAAGAAGTACATTGCTTTGGATTTTAAATTAATTTAATCGGTGCAAAATTAACATTAATTTAAAAGGATTTACTTGCAAAATTATATGTTAAAAATAATATATAATTTTGTTGTAAATTTTTGTTTGCATGCCCTACTGTACCCTTCCTAATTGCATTGCACCAGTTGGTGACATTTATTGGCGTTGATTGAAGCGTTGCATCAGTCATGCTTTGATTCAAGGTGCTTTGCACGCACGCGGTGGCCTCAATAGAAACGAATAGTATCGTTATTGCGATTTAATATAGAGATCATTCGATAAATGTTTTTTATTCTTTAATACATCAAAAATTAACAATTACAATGAACGTAATATATAAACAAAGTTATCGCAGATTTTATTTTCTTGTTATTCCTTTTTATTATAGTTTTAATTATATCGAATGATTTTAAACTAATTGCGCATTAAGGAAATGCATACAACAATGATAAGATATTTAATAATCTTTCAAAGAAATATCGATAAATTAGTATAACTGTATTTTCACTGTCGATAATATGAATTTCTATAATATACAATATGTTAAGATCTTTCGTAAATACGAAATAATCGAGAATTATTTTTCATAATTATTTAGCATATTACGATTTTTAATCGATTATTGTAATCATCGTTTAAATATAATTCATATAAATAGATCCGCTGTATAAAATTCATTATGTTTCTGCCGTAATTATTGCATATTCCAATTCAATTAGCTGCAGTGTATAACTGAAATACATATGAATATGTTGCGTCATATGCACGTGTGCAGCTGCTCGCGCAAGTTTTTTCAACCTCTCCTTAAGTTCAAAGAAACATTCAGCAAGAACTGTAATTTATTTTCATTTTTTATATAATGTCTTTCTATGTTTTAACAGTGATTAATGATCATGTATATAATTTAAGAAATGAACGAATATTTAGCATTCAAAAAAAAGCTACCAAACTTTAATACCATCTTTTATGTCATTTATCGACAATTCAAGTGCATAGTTGATGGAGTGCAATTGCACGGTGCGTAAGTTGACTTGCGTGCTTAGAAAGTTTAGCGTGTACGTGTGCGATCGTCAATCCAATGAATACTACCAATCAGCCACGATAACGGAAACAATGCATTGGTTGCATCGATTATAAATCGTATAATTGTATGTGTGCATCTAACATGACTACTTTCAGAGCACGAGTTTCTATGAATTGGTTTGCGCTTATCTTATATTCTCTTTCAAATGTGACAGAATTAAGTTAAAAGCGTCATGAAAACGAGCTCGTTTTAAAGGGCAAATGAAAAACATTCATCGTCGGTATTGCAGAATATCAAGAAATTTTGAACGTGAAGTCGAGTAACGTTTATATCTTGAAAATTGCGCGATATTTCAACTTTAATTTAGCGTAACTTGAAATAAAATATATTGCTCTATTATTTCACAAGCTTCTTCTCTGAGTGAGATATTTCATTAGATAAGATTAATATCTTTGTTAAAAAAAAAAAAAAAGACAAACAATACCTGAAATGATACCGTTTTGCATTTTTTTTTCTTAAAAGCTTTCTTCATTTGTAACAATCATGAATCATTAAAAAAGTGTACATGAACAATATAAATTACTAAATATTTCTTGAAATATTAAAATTATATCTCTATTATTATAAAAAAAATAAATACCAAGAAATTTATATATTGACGAAATATAAAAATGGTAATTGTATGATGTATCTCTTATTTCCTCATTTGTATTTTGTAATTATATTTTCTTTGTCGTGCAATAAATTTTAATGGGATGGAACAAGAGTGAGATCAAAGACGGCATCGTTTTTCTGAAGTCAATTTGTAAATCAGTTGTCTTTGTTCAACTGTGTCAACTTTTCTTAAATTATCAGTCTCTCGGTTATCTCGAGACGCACAGTCTGCCACGCATGTAAGCGCCTCCGAGAAATGCATATAATCAAATACGTTTTCACAATCGAATAATCTCGTATGATTGCAACTATCTAAAGCGACAGAAAAAAATACATGAATATATTTTCAATAGCAAAAAGAACAATTAATTATTTTATATTATATATTATATAATTATTTGTATCTTTATTTTATATAAAATATAAAGTATTAGAAAATCAAATCAAATAATTTTTTTAAAATAACAAATAAATTAGATGTTTTGTAAATTAGAAATTTTTTACAACATAACACTACATTAAATCTCACAATTATTCTCATTTCGATTCTTTCCACAAATATATAAAAACAAATAATGCAATAAAATTAGAAATTAGAATATTTTAAAAATATTTAAAAATCATTGATCTATTTAAATAAATTGACACGTAACTATTTCAAATAACATATAACTTTAACGATCACTTTTTAAATGATTTTATTTCAATAATATATCTTGATAAAAACAGCCTTTTTTTTTTTACTAAGAATATAAGAAAAATGTAATCGTTCTTAGATATATTAAATATTGTCTAGTAAAAAAGCAAATCTTCGATAAAGGAAATAAATATAGTGCAAGATTAAAGAAAAAAATGCCACATTAATATGTGTATACGACAGAATGAAAAATAATAAACAGATTTCTTTTAAAATAGTCTCTTATATTTTCTCTCAAATTCTCATAATCTACGCGTGTATATATAATACAATATTTAATACAATAATTTTTGTTTTTTTTTATTTTTCGAACGTACAAAAAAAAAAACGTTGATGATATCTATTTTCTCCGTACATTAAGATTGCTTCTCGATCATTCTATCCCTTTCTCTCTGAATAATTCAGTCTCTTTCCCTCTCAATCTCTTGCTACTCGATAAATCACAATATGACGGATATGCTGTAATTGGGCGAATTTTGCCGACGAACTGAGAAACACGTTGATTGCGTGACATATCGAATATCGTTGCTCTTGCTACCGTTCACCGCTCGCCGGAGAATCTCCGCGACCGCACAAAGAGAGGAAAGAAAAAAGACACAGATAAGCCTTAGAGGCGAGGTATCAGCGATTCTTCGATTATCACACTTTGAGCTGCCTCTCTCGGCGAGGAAACTCGAATTTGTTCGTTCTTGGTCTCGATCAACCCTCAGAATGAGTTCACATTCGACAATTTCTCATATATTACTCGTATAATTTATGAATTACAAACACGAATTAAATGTTAAAACGAAATTAGAACAATTGAAAATATAGATGAATAGAAAATATATATGCGAAAAAAAAAAAGAAAAAGAAATATAGTTCGTTCTCGATCCGATCTGATTTATTCGATAGGAAAACGAGAAAGGGAAAGAAAATTATTGAAATGGCGACCAATAAATAAACGAATAAGTCTCAATACTGATATTATTACACGGTTGGACGAGTCACCGGTGTTCTCTTACGCAGAACGTATCCTTGCCAAGAGCAGCGCTTTTTTTCTCGCCTCGGAGAGGACGTAAAAATATACGTAGCTCGTTCTAAGGACGCGAAACATTTGGTCCTTGATTCTTCCTCGCATTAATAAAGATATAAGGCACGAGCGGATCTCTAAAAGGCACCGGGCGAGTTTTCAGGCGCTTCGTTCCTACAACTTGATCGTATTAAAATATAATTATGTATACACATTATATATATATATATGTATGTATATATATAAACTCACTCTCTCTCTCTCTCTCTATCTATCAACGCTATATAAAATTTTTTTTGTACATACGCGAGCATTATGCTTATATATAATTAATTGTATATTTGTATAATGTGTGTATGTATAATGTATGTACGTTCTCTGCCTACACGTGGGTTTAAAATGTGGGGGCTCGCCCACGAAGTTTTTCTCCCCACCACTTCGAACCAACCGTTCGTTCCCTTCATACCCCCGCCCTTCCTCCTCACCTTCCGTTCACACAGTTTGATGCACTTAAAAAATATTGCTTATACAATGTTTTATGCCTCGTTTAATAGACTCTTATGGGCTGTGCACACGGAACACATTCGTATACGCACGTACGAAAACTGTGCGCGCCGATACACACGTAAAAAAACATGCACGCATTTATTTCTCGCGCTATCGAGCACGCTCTTCCTTCGTCTCTTTCACTCTCTCTCTCTCT